AATTAGTATGTATGTAAGTATGGCAGCTTTGATTCGAACTCCCATTTCTCCTTTGACAAAAAAAATTCCCCTCTCCAAACCATTAGTTAAATTGGTAGCAATACCCCTTTTCCGTAAGTTATAAATAGGCTTCCAACTTTTAAGAGTAATGATATATGAATAATATTTTTATATAATTTTTATCATATCATTTTTTTTTTGAACAGTGTAAAATCTTTTTTCTTGGGAGAAGGGGGAATGGGGGGACTCAGGATTGAACCCAAGTCCATGTAGTCCTACGCACGTCCCTTGTAAGGGGGTGGTCATTTGGTCACCGAGTACGGGACAATTTTTATCATATCATTTAATAAGTAAATATATATAATATTATATATTTTAATAAAATAAAAGAATTTATCATTAAATTACATAAAAAAAATTGTATTCTATTCTTCAGCTATCTCGTGCAATTACAGAGCCATAATCCGTTCGCATTCTGAAAAACTCCTCTCGCCCCTGAAAAGCCAAGGTTTGAGATGGCTGAGCCATACTTGTTGAACTTAGTCCACCCCAGTGGTGGTTTTTGCCATTTCACAGCAATGAAGGAATTGGAGACCATTTTGGTGATCCTTCTTTCCCCAGCAGACTATAATTCAATAGCAAAACTCATAGATTTATGGAGGATGTTTGAGGGATTTGTGTCAAAATAATAGATTATAATTTCTAAAAATTGTTTTTATATCATAAACTAAAATAATATTCGATAAATTTTCATGTCATGAAATCTATCTATAACAGAGTTTACATTAAATGTCTAAACTATTTCATTTTCAATATAAACAATCAAAGAGTTTGAATGAAATTCATTCTACATTTTGCTGTGAAGTATTGTCTTCACAATTTTCATGGTAAAAAATACTCTTTATGTTGTTGCAATATAAACTGGAAGAGTAAGCACCAAAATAATTAACTTGTAAATGAGATTGTAGACATCTGAATTTTTTCTCTCCACAAGCCATTGACATAACTCAAAAATATTTGACAAATTCTAAAAACCATGATCATAACTTATTTCAATCTCATAATGTCGACTCTCTGATCTCAAATGAAGTTTCTCCATCTTTAAAAAATCTTGAGGATAGTATTTTTTTACAAGTTCACAAATATGATCAACATTGAAACTCCTACAATCATTTCTAAGATCTAAAGCATCATTAAGAGTCAATAGTTCTATTGCATTTTCATTAAACTTGCAATTCAATTCTTGTAATTAAAAATCGATTGCAGCATTGAAAATATCTATTCAATAATGATGCTCAATAGTAATAATACCTTATTGATGACAAGCATGTCCTCCCCATGCAACATATGTGGCAAACATGTCAAGAACATCTATATTGTTATTGTCAGTATATAATTTTACCTCTTCAAGTAAAGAATTCCATCAACTTTCTTTGAATTGTTGAATGAGGGCTTTTGTTGATTTGATAAGATTTAAGGCATTCAAAATATCTTGAGATTTACATTGCAAACCTTGACAAAGCAAATCCATGATCTCCATGATTTCTTTCATAAGATGTAAAATAAAAACAAACTCAAAAGATATCAACGCATTATATCTTGCAAATAAAAAAACATAAATTAGTTACCTTTAAGATTTTCTTTTAAGATGTAGAATTCAAAAAAAATTTAGAAAATTCAATATGTTATATTACCTTGGTTAAATATCCTTTTTGGTCCCTCTACTATAAAAAAAAGCCCATTTTTGGTCCCTATATTGAAAAAATCCCCTTTTTGATCCCTAAATTTTAAAATCCGACCCCTTTTTAGTCCCTCCGTCAAATTTTGCTTGCGTGGCACATTAACTTAACTGAAACAGCTGACGTGGGTATGCCAACATGTAAAAAATGCTTATGTGGACTTCTGACACCTGCTACGTCACTCGCTACGTCACTCTCCCCTCCAATTTTTTTCATTTTCGCGCGTGGGAGAGTGACGTGGCAAGTGACATGGCGAGTGACGTGGCAAGTGACGTGGCAGGTGTCAGAAGTCCACGTAAGCATTTGTTACATGTTGGCATACCCACGTCAGCTGTTCCAGTTAAGTTAATGTGCCACGCGAGCAAAATTTGACGGAGGGATTAAAAAGGGGCCGGATTTTAAAATTTAGAGATCAAAAAAGGGATTTTTTTGGTACAGTGACCAAAAAGGTGCTTTTTCTTATAGTAGAGGGACCAAAAAGGGTATTTAACCTAATACCTTTAAATGCTTCTCCAAGTTGTGAAGAAATAGATCCTTCCTCAATCAACTTACTCAAAACAGTAAAAGTTGCACTAAACACTTTTAACATGCTTAAAATAGATTTCAAATGTGAACTCCAATGAGTGTCACCAGGTTGCTATAGAGTGTCAATCTGATTAAGTCCACTTTCAGTTTCAAGCTCATCATTTTCAATCAAATGAGCAATATCAGAAGCATAAATAGATTTCAATTCATCATTACGCTTAGAAGAAGCTACAATAACATTGACAATGCATGTCAAGTTTGAAAAGAATTATACACAGGAATGACCTCCTTCGATGATATAACTAAAGTTAATTGCAAACGATAAGCTAAGCAGTGAATGTAGTAAGTATAAAGACATTCTTTACTAATCAAAACTTGAAGTCTATTCAACTCATCTCTCATATTACTTGCATCATCATATCCTTGACCACAAATGTTTTGAAAGTTAAGATCATAATGAGAAAGTAGAGAGATAATAACATCTTTTAACGTTTGACATAATGTATCTGTCACATGAACAACATCAAAGAAATGCTCTTTTAAAAGTCCTTTCTTATCAACAAATCTTAAAATTCTTATCAACAAATCTTAAAATCAAGGCCATTTTCTCTTTCTTGGACTTATCTCTTACTTTATCAACAATAATACAAAACTTAACATCACTTATTTATTTCTTAACAAATACTTCCTCTCACTTTACACTTCGAGAGGGCAATTGTGCAGTGGATTTCGTGGCTTCGTTGGGATACTGTTTGTCGCATGGTACAATTTTACAATTTTCCATCAGGCTCCACCATCAGGCATAGAATTTATTCTCCAAGGAGACATTGCGGGGACCATGTTCTGTAGGAATTAGTACTATTTTAGTTTCTTGTGCATCAAAACAAAGAACTAACTTTCAAAGTAAAAAATAATAATAATAATAATAAATAAAAATAAAACTGTTTATTCCATAAAAAAAAAAAAATCCCGTTTAAGACCGGCTGGAATGAGAAAATTTTATTCAACCATAAAGAGATTTTTGAAAGCATTTTAAAATGAAACTCAAAAAATTAGCACTTTTGGTCGGGTCGAATCATGGAATGATTGTACGGAAAAGGGCCCTACGGATGGGTGGAATCCAAAGTTCCAAGCACTTATCCCAACCCTTTTTTTCTAATGTAAAAATAAATTAATTCATCAATATTGTAAGATTATAAGTTAATTCTCATGATATAACACATTAAAAATGCTATAAAATTTAATTTTAAATGTATAAAACACTTAATAAAATATTTTTTTCTTTGAACATGAAAAATTTTT